TATTATATTATTATAATAATAATAAATTATTTACAATTATTTAAATTTTATTAGGTGGTCCTAAACTTTTGGCCAGGGAGTGTATTTGCCAAACATTCTTGAAGAATCACCCTAAATAAATTCAGATAGTGTAAAGTTAGCATAAGATCAGATTTTATAACTCAAAGGAAAAGTACTGTAGTAATAAGCATCTAGCCTAATACTTCACTACGGTTTAATATTTAAAATGTTTTTGATAGAACTTACCGTATAATCCTGATTCGACTTACTATCGAGTCATACAATACTAGGTTAATCCCGAACCCGATTAGATCTGACCAATTTGCAAAACACTATCCATTCATTTGATAAAGATAATGTTTTATATAAGCTGAAATTTCTATTAATTGTACTTAAGTCACATTAGTGAAATAAAAATCAAATGGACGAAAGTTTATGTCCAAATAATCATCTTACTTAACCAATAAGAGACACGAAACTTAATTAGTTAATATCCAATTGAAATTATGCATTCTATTGAGCATAAAAAAAGAACAAAATGTGTTAGTAGTTGTAAAGTCAGTCATATTATGAGTCTGAATTAGTCAAATTACTTTTAAATAGAACACCTTAGTAAACGTTAATGTAATAAGCCTCCTTAAGATAGAGACGAGATATTAAAGATTTATGACAGAAACAGATTTGAAGATTTTAGTCAAATAATAAAAAATTTTTTTATAATTTAAATATAATTTTTATTTACAGAAATTATCTCGTATATTTCGCGTAAAATACGTCTCTAGTATATTAATATTTTATGGTTTGGAACGTTACTCAAATATCTAACGGAGGGGTTAGGTTTAGACTATTCTAGAATCAGATTGGATTGGTATCCGATCTGATCTGATCTGTGTGATCCCTAGCCACATGATTTGAATTTAAGCCAATAATCATATCTTATATGGACTTAAAAAAGTTTAATGACGAACACCATAAAAGAGCTGTTCTCTGGCGAACCTTTCGGTGGGTTAAAAGAATACGTCTTAATCTTATTTTTACAGCTGTCCTTAAATATGTTTCATGCATACAGAATATTCTGAATACTTTGCGAAAACGAGGCCACATGAGTGGAGAGAAAAGAACTTTATTTTATGGTTAGAAGCGAATGGTGAAAATCTGTTCGCGGGAAGTAGACCACTTCAGGAACGAAAGATAAAATGGCATAATCAATTCTTGAATTCGTTAGAGTCCGTCATTTCTCTATGCAAAAGTTTTTTAGAGGATCCTGCGCGTATTATGACCACAGACGACCGATCTCATGTTAAATCTTTAATAAATAAAGCATCTTCTCTCATTAAAGATTTGGTAAGTGTATTTAAATCTCCCTCTTATGAACATGGGCATGAATGCTACAGCCGAACAGACCGTGGTGGGAGTTCGGGCTTCAAGGCATCTCTTTCGAGAGACATTCGGCCAGCTCGTGGTGAGTGGTCGCCTTGGGCATGTGGCTGAGGTTGTAACCGAACAGACCGTAGTGGGAGTTCGGATTTCAAGGCATCTCTTTCAAGAGACATTCGGCCAGCTCGTGGCGAGTGGTCGCCTTTTAATATGCAACCGCTTGCCATCTTTGCTTCTGCTGTTATAATTTATCTCTCTTTTATAAAAGAATAAGGTTCCGAATGATGTTTCTCAATGGTGGATACAGTGGGAACTTGAGAACTTTAAAGAGCGTGAAAAACTAATCATGGCTCAGGACTCCCTGTCTCAAGTTAGTTGAAATGTGAAATGGTGTAGACATTGAGGTGAATTCACTTAAAAATTGAACAACTACTAAATAGGTTGAATGGACATCAGCTCGGAATGAGGAAACACGAAAGAGGTTTTGGGAAGTAGATGCTTTGGATAAAAATGATTCGATAAACGTAAGTATCTTGCACATTTTTTGATAATAAATCAGCAGAACTAATTATTTGTGTTTTATTAATACTATAGGATGATTTTGAATATCAAATTGAGCAAAATCAAGTGAAGCGGACAAGACTAGAGCGCCAACAAACTCCTGAAAATCAAACGTATCCATCTTCCCTACCTTCAAAGGTTGAGATCATTATAATTAACTTTCAGCATGAAAAAGATTTTTTAATGACTTGCAAATTTTTTAATGTACGTAATAGAATCAGATAATAAACTCTGCTTTATATATCAAAAATAATGATTTATTTGAAAAATTGGCACGACAAGAAGGGCAAATCAAACCCCAAAAAGTAATATATGAAAAGGAACAGTTATTGGAATTAGATGATGATTATATAATTGATCAGGAGGTAATT